GTAAAACAATTGCCCAGAAGTCACATCATTAAAAACCTATTAAAGGATCATACTGTAGTAATGAAGCGAGATGCCGGGCAGTAGTGGCGCCCACCTTTAATCCCAGAACTTGAGAGACAGAGGCAGGCGGATTTCTGAGTTCGAGGCCAGCCTGGTCTACAGAGGGAGTTCCAGGACAGCCATGGCTACACAGAGAAACCCTGTCTCAAAAATCTAAATAAATAAATAAGATCTAAGGGAAGAGGGCTTGTGTAAACAGATTATATAAGATTACTTGGGCAAAGGGTACACATCCCAGTATTTTATATGAGAGCTGTTTCAGGATACCAAGCAGACTGTTTTTTTTTTACAGACTGTATTTTTTATACATACAGCTGTGAAAAAGAAGAGAGTGGTCTCTAGTTACATCATATAAGGAGTTATTAAAGACTGGAGATTTAAAAAAATTAGTTATTTGGTAAGATGTCTCAATATTTTAAAAGACATGCTGTACAAGAATGAAAAACCTAAGTTTGCATCTTCACAACCTAGTATAAAATTATAGCAACGTGTTTATACTCTCTGTGTTTATACAAGGTGATGCAAGGTAGAGACCAAAGAATCCTGAGAAACTCTGACAGCAGCTTGTTTGCCTGGCATACAAGTGGCAAAACAACAAAAATACCTTGCTTTAAACAGGGCAGTAGGTAATGCCTGACACTCAGGTTGTCTTCTGACTACACATATAAGCCGTAGTACATTCATGCTCCCAAAATTTACATTTGCATACATGATCACACACACTGTACATATACACACATAGACACACAACACTAATGTAAATTATTCTTCAGTCGATCATGGAGGTACTACCCTTCCTGATAAAAATTCAGGGGGTACTAGAGATGGACAGAATGTAGCTCAATATAATAAGGGGTATATGTGACAACCCTATAGCCAACATAATATTACACGCAGAAAAAACTCTAAAGATCACCATTTAGATGAAAAAATCCATATGTCCCTCACTCCTATTTGAACAGTACTTGAAAAGCTAGCTAGAGCAATAGGATAAGAGAAGGGACTAAAAGGGCAACAAATAGGAAAGGAAGAAGTTACACATCTCTATTTGCAAAGGGAATGATTCTATACATGAGAGAACCTACAGGGAACTCTAAAGCAGATAAACAGTTTCAGCAAGTGGCAAGCCAAAAAATTAATATACTGTCATAGTAACATTTCTCTTTCCAGGAAGAGACATCATGGCCATTGCAAATAGTTAAATTTAATTCTAAGCTTGCGTACAGTTTCAGAGGGTAAGTTCATGACCATCATGGAAAGGAACATAATAGCAGGCAGACAGGCATAGTGGTAGAGCACTAGCTGAGACCTTTTATCTTATCCACCCCCTAGTGGCATAAAGAGAGGGACTGGGCCTGGCATGGATGGTATGGATGTAAAGCTTTTGAAAGCTTTACACATACAAAAGTTAGAAACCTTCCCATGTTCCATCCACAGTTTGTGTGTGTGTGTGTGCTCACACACAGAGGGAGAGAGGGGGAGGAAAAAGGAAGGAGAAATGAGATAATGGAAAAAAAGGGAGGGAAGGAGGGAGGGAGGGAGGGAGGGAGGGAGGGAAGAAAGGAAGGAAGGAAGGAAGGAAGGAAGGAAGGAAGGAAGGAAGGAAGGAAGGAAGGAAGAAAAAGTTAGTTTGGAAAAAACCTAGTCAAGGAAGTAAAAAGCCTCTACAATGAAAACTTCAAAACACTGAAGAAAGAAATTGAAGACACTAGAGAGTGAAAAGACTTCCCCTTTACTCATGAATTTATAGTACTAATATTTTAAAAATGAAAATTCCAACTCAGAAAAATGTCCAAATCAATGCAATCCTGATCAGAATGCCAACTTAGTTTTTTATAGAAATAGATAAAAAAATAAAATAAAAAGTTCAAACTTACATGGAGGAACAAAAGACTTCAGACAAAGCAATTTTAATGAATAAGAATACTGCTGTAAATATCACAATTCCTGGTTGCAAGTCATACTACAGAGACATTAAAAAAGGAACATACTAATACAGAAGCTACGGACACTCTTAGTTCCATTGGATTAGCACTTCTCAGTATTAACGTGCTGAGCCATCACTCAGGACACAAGCTATTATAGGATTAACAAATGAAATCACCAAGAGACATGCTAACTAAAAAGGAGTTTCTAAAAGTTAAGAATGTCCAAGAAAAGAAGTAGAACTTGCCTTGCATGTGATTAAAAATGATGAGCTACGGGTCAAAAGTCCATCCTTTGGAATTATCATAATGCAATAGCTGCTGAGTTGGGTACCTGTTCAGATTCTCTATGTCATTAAATCCTACAATTTATTCTTCTATCACTATTTAGAGTCTTCCTGTCCATAGCAAAATTCCTGGTGTCCAAGGACCATGTACCACAGTCTCTATTGAAAATTGCATGAGTCCCCAACAACTTGATAGTCCACACATGGACAATAAAAGATGATATACATTTCCAACATCTTGAAAGAACTAGAAGTGAAAAGTCAGATGATCTTAAATAACCTAGTCATAAATGAGGCAATGCTTACCTTAAAATCAGTGTGTCAAGAAATTTGACCTCTATGATATTTTTCTTGTTTTATTATCTTTTATTTACTTGGATTTTTCTTTGTTTTGGTTTTGTGTTATAAGTTAGATAAGGTCTCTATCTGTAGCCCAGGTTGCTTTGTGAATGTTATTTTTAAATAGAGTATTTTAGTTGCAATCCATTAGATGTTTTTCACCTATCCCTAACACAGTGTACAGTGATTCATCAGACATCTGTGGGAAGTAAATATACATGGTGTATTTTTAGAGAAGCAAATATGTGTGCGTGCTTTCCTAGTATAAGCAGATTTCAACTGGATCTGAAAATAGGAACTCTTCAGCCTTGACCACTTGTGTGCTATGTTTCATTTTAGAACTTTCATTTCCATGCTGTCATTTTCAGGTCACTTCCCACCTATACCGACAGACTTGATGGAGCATAATCCTATTTTCTGCATTCTATTTAATTTTAAAATGTCCTGTGGATGAAAGTTGACTGCTGATAATTCCTCTTAATGCATTTAATTGTTTTGCATTACTGAAAAAAAATCCCTTAAATACTCACATGTAGTTATTCTGTCTCTGTGCAACAGTGTCAAATTGCTTGCTAGTAAAGATGAGGGTCCACCTATATGTAGATAATGAGGTGACTTTTCTGTTGCAAACATTTGTTTCATATTTTTTCTTGCTTATCTCTACGAATACCTACCCTGTGATTTTCATATATCCCAGACTCTAGAGTCTAAACTACTGTGTGTGATATCAAAAAATGAAAGTGAAGATCCCATACCATTTTGATTTGTTTGGAATTATTTAGGTAACTAGAAACTTTCCACTGAGATAATTTAGTCTCTCTGACAACTGCTCTAGTTTTTAGTCACTGTATTGGTAAAAATAAGATAACTTTCAGAAGCAAGGAGTTTCTAGATGTATATATATATATATATATATGCATACATATGGGATATATATTTCACTCCCTTTTTAAGCATTAAGAATTTCAGCCCATGAACATTTGCTGAATCTCTCCTTTCATAGTTGTCAAAATAGTCTATGTTTCATTTATTTTCTGAATCCTCTCCATCTCAGCAGGTTCCTATGAAGTGAGTGAAGCACTTACTATAAATAGATAAATTTCATCAGTGAACTGCTTGATTGATACCTTAAATAAACAGGTATAGGGAAATACTGCAAAAATCATAGTAAGCTAAATGTTAAGCTCTGACTTTCTTCTTCCAAATGGACAGTGTATGGGTTATCTTGTTTATGGTATGTGTACTGGATGGTTTTGGGTGTCAACTTGACACAAGCTGGAGTTATCACAGAGAAAGGAGCTTCATTTGAGAAAATGCCTCCATGAGATCCATCTGTAAGGCATTTTCTCAATCAGTGATCAAGGGGGGAGGGTCCCTTGTGGGTGGCACCATCCCTGGGCTGGTCTTCTTCTATAAGAAAGCAAGCTGAGCAAGCCAGGGGAAGCAAGCTATAACATCTCTTCATGGTCTCTGAATCAGCTCCTGCTTCCTGATATCCTTACGTTCCAGTCCTGACTTCCTTTGGTGATGAAGAGCAATGTGGAAAATGTAAGCTGAATAAACTCTTTCCTCCCCAACTTGCTTCTTGGTCATAATGTTTGTGCAGGAATAGAAATTCTGACTAAGACAGTATGTAAGTGCTATAAAGAGTTAAGAGCAACAGACAGAGTCTACCTATATCGGTTCCAGGTAGAGAAAGCCTAGTGTGAAAGTTAGGCCATTATGACTGGGGCATCTCCTCTGTAACTGGCCAACTGTGAGACCAGGAGTCATGTTGCTGCTACAATGAAGCTAGTATTGATGATATGATTGATGCCCAGAGCCATAGGATAAGGAAAGCAGAAATCCATGGGTGAGTTTCAAACATAAGATCACAAGATGAAGCAGGAGCTAAATCAAGTAAAAAGCAAAGAGAAAGAGGTGATAGGGTGTGTCTAAGTCAGAGATGCTTGACTGTTCCTTATAGGCAGGATGGAGATAAAAGTTCAGGCAGTAACTCTTATGCTATTTTATTTACATTGTAATGTTGGTGATATTGTGGGAAGCGGGAAGCGAGTGTGGCGGCTAGTTCAAATGGTGCCTGGGACGGCTGCCAAGTGTTATCGCTAGCACTTGACTTCCTTGAACACCCCCAGAGAGCCATGTCCGCAGTAGATACTGTGGAGACTCGCTGCCATGCACTATCAGGGCATCTGACGTGTAATGTCAAAATCCAATTGAGAGCACCTACGTGGCCGGCTCTGAGTGGTGCAAGCACAAAGATTTAATGGTGGTGGAGGAGAGGCTCGGGGGCTTTTGCTTAATTGAAGGGTTCCTGAGTAAACGGCTTCGAGAAGAGCTCCGTGTGTCGGCGTTTCTTTCCACAGGTTGGAGTGGACAGCAACAAGTGGTGGCCTGTACGGGGAAGCTCAGAACTCGTTGCAGTCAGGGCAGCTAGCTGGTAAGTTCCCAGGTAAGTGGGACAAAAGGTAGAATTTCTCGGTTAAGAGACTATAAGGTTCGTGAGGAAAGACGATGGGGAATTCATCATCATTAAGCTCAGTGATTGCTGTGCTTAAGAGCCTGTTAACTTTGGCTAGCTGTGATAAGCTAGGAAAGGATTCATGCTTGTTAAACTCAGAGAAAGGGGAAAGTTCAGAGGAGGAAGTTTCTGAGGAGGAATTGGAGGAGTTGGCCAACGAGTTGGAGTCTACCACCTTGAATGTGGAGCCTTCAGCTCCAGGACCCCCTCGGCCAATGCCTTATGCGCTTGGATGTAGCTTGTGCCCAGAAGTATGGAAAGAGCTAAGAGCACAATGCTGCTATCCAGTCTTCCAGGATGCTCAAGGGGGATGTTATCATGAGCCCCTAGACTTTAAAGTCATACAGAGGCTTGCTGAGGGGGTTCGTGCCTATGGTACTAGTGCTGCCTTTGTGGTAGTTCAGCTGGAATCTCTCCATAGGTATTGCATGACTCCCAGTGGTTGGCAGAATTTAACTAGAGCATGCCTATCTCCCAGACAGTATTTAGATGTATTAGTATTAGTATTAGATGTAGCAGTATTTAGTATTTAGTATTGGAAGGCCTATTTTATTGAATTTTCAGCAGAGCAGGCAGCCATAAATGCTGCTAATGGCCAGCCAGCATGGAGTCAGGATATGTTACTGGGGCAAGGCAGGTTTGCCAATCAACAGACTGGTCATCCTCTGCAAGTTTATGAGCAAATTAACATGATGGGAATTACAGCTTGGAAATCTCTACCAAGTAGAGGGTAAGTGCAAGGAAACCTCACTAAGATTATTCAAGGGTCAGCGGAACCATTTGCTGACTTTGTGGCTAGAATGGTAGAATCTGGGGGAAGAATTTTGGGGGACCGTGATACAGCCATGCCTTTACTGAAACAGTTGATTTTGAGCAATGTACCAAGGAGTATAGGCAAGCCATCAACCCATATAAGAACAAGGAGCTGGAGGTATGGTTGAAAATCTGTAGGGAGTTAGGGGGACCTCTCTCTAATGCTGGTTTGGTTGCTGCAGTTATGCAAATGACTCGAGACAGAAGTAACTCAAGGAATGGAAACTGTTTTAAGTGTGGTCATCCTGGGCATTTGAAGCGGCAATGTCCCCAATTACAAACCTCTGGAGGCCCAAGAGCGAAAGCACCTGCGCTTTGCCCTAAATGTAGAAAAGGAAACCATTGGGCAAATGAGTGTAGATCAGTGAAAGATATCAATGTACAGCCTTTAGATGCAGGATATGGGAGAGCCAGGCCAAAAAACATGACCCAGGGCCCCCGACCTCAGGGCCCTCAAATATATGGGGCAGTAACCGAGAATTGGCCAAGCCTGAGTCCTCCAATGCAATGGAGTTGCCCCAAAGGAAGACAAGAGGGAGTGCAGGACTTGACCTCTGTTCCACCACCAGACTCATATTAACACCTCAAATGGGTCCTCAATTGGTGGAGAGAGACTTTCATGGCCCATTGCCATCTAAGACAGTGGGACTGGTGTTGGGGAGAAGTTCGCTTACTATGCAAGGTTTGATGATCCACCCTGGAGTGATTGATCTGAATTATACTGGAGTGGTGAAAGTAATGGTATCCTCCCCTAGAGGGATATCAGCCATCTCTCGAGGAGATAGGCTAGCTCAGCTGTTGCTTTTGTCCAGCTGCCATGATCTGTTTCCTGCTACTGATGTTGAGCGGGAGGCCAAAGGCTTTGGTTCTACAGGAACCTCCGCCGTTTTCTGTTCTTTGAATCTTGATTCATGACCACTGTTAAATTTAATTATTGAAGGCAAATCCATTGCTGGCCTTCTAGACACTGGTGCTGATCGTAGCATAATCAGTACCAAAGACTGGTCCTCTGGATGGCCCAAACAGACATCTACACAATTACTGAGAGGATTGGGATATGCCCAAGAGCCGGAAATGAGTTGTTGATTCTTGCACTGAAAGGATGCAGAAGGGCATTCTGGGACTTTCCAGCCCTATGTTCTGGAAGTTTCCGTTTCCTTGTGGGGAAGAGATCTTATGCAAGAAATGGGTTTTATGCTAACTAATGAGGGTAAATATAGCCTGAAATCACAATGTATAGTATCATGTCTGGTATGGGCTATATCCAGGAAAAAGGCTGGGAAGAGAGCTACAGGGATGAGCAACTCCTATTTCTGTTCAGCAGAAACAAGATAGAGCAGGAGTGGGTTTTTCTTAGGGGCCACTGAGGAGAGTTTTCCCATATCGTGGAAATCTGAGGAGCCCGTGTGGGTTCCTCAGTGGCCACTTCCCTCAGAAAAGTTACAAGCTGTCCATACTCTGGTGCAAGAACAGCTATTGTTGGGACATTTACAAGAATCCACATTTCCCTGGAATACTCCAATCTTTGTAATTAAGAAAAAGTCAGGAAAATGGAGACTCTTGCATGATTTAAGAGAGATTAATAAACAGATGATTGTCATTGGAATGGTACAAAGAGGATTACCCTTACCTTCCGCATTACCTAAAAGGTAGCCTATAATAGTCTTAGATATTAAAGATTGTTTCTTTTCAATCCCATTTTAAAGATACAGCTAGATTTGCCTTTACGGTTCCCTCCTTAAATCATACAGAACCAGATAAAAGATTTGAGTGGGTTGTATTGCCTCAGGGGATGGCAAATACTCACTATATGCCAGCTGTATGTTGATGCTGCATTACAAGAAATTAGAGAAAAATTTCCAAAGATAAAATGTTATCACTATATGGATGATATTCTTATTGCACCCCCTACGGAACAGTTACTTGATGAGGCTTATGGTTCTGTTATTTTAGCATTAAAAAGAAAGCATTTGATTGTGACTCCCGAAAAGGTACAAAAGGATTTAGTGGTAAATTATTTAGGAACAAGGATCTCATCAGAACAAGTGACACCTCAAAAGGTTCAGATTCGTACGGATAACTTACATACCTTGAATGATTTTCAGAAATTGTTAGGGGATATCCAATGGATTAGATCTTATCTTTCTCTATCCAATATACAGTTACAACCCTTGTATGCTATTTTGCCTGGCAATCCAGATCTGAATTCCCCAAGAAAGCTTACTGATGAGGCAAAAAGGGCATTACAATTGGTGGAAGAAAGTATACAGAGTGCAGCCCTGAAACATAGAGATGAAGCCCAAGCCATCCTACTATGCATCTTGCCTACTGAGTGTCAGCCTACAGGAGTATTATGGCAAGAAGCCCCTTTACTTTGGGTACATCCTAAGATTTCCCCAGCTAAAACACTGATGCATTTCCCAACCGCCGTAGCTCAATTAGCTATGCTGGGAATACAACAATGTGTTCACATTTTCTCATTCTGCCAGCAAGTCTGATTGTGCCATATACCTCTGCTCAGATTGAAGTACTAACAACCAAGGTAGATGATTGGGCTATTCTAAGATGCACCTTTAATGGCTCCATGGATAATCATTTTCCAAAAGATCCCATTTTGCAATTGATTAGTGCCCAACCTGTAGTTTTTCCTCGTGTCACTCATACAAGTCTGCTCATGGAGTGTCCTACCATTTTTACTGATGGCTCCAAGACTGGATGTGGGGCTTATTTAGTTGCTGGCTCTCAGCCAGTGACTATACAGTTTCCTCCAGCTTCTCCACAAGTTATTGAATTACAAATTATGATTAAAGTTTTTGATCAGTTTAAGTGTTCTTTTAATTTAATATCGGACAGTCAATATGTGGTAAATATTTTAAAACATTTGGAGATAGTTGGAAAAATTAGTCTTAAATCCACCATTGGAGAGTTATTGGTTAAATTACAAGTACTTATTTGGAATAGAGAATTTCCCTTTTTTGTTCAGCATATCTGTGCCCATACTGGATTACCAGGGCCATTGGCTGAGGGAAATGATGTGGTGGACAAAGCCTCTAAAGCTTGTCTAGTTTTTCTGGTTTCCTCTCCCATTGATTTTGCTCAAAGTTTTCATAAACAGTTTCATGTAAATTCTAAGACTTTGTCCTCTCGTTTTGGTATTTCTCATGCAGATGCTAGAAATATTGTGAAATCCTGTCAGTCTTGTGCCCCCTTGATACCACAGGCCAGTGTGGGGGTTAATCCCCATGGTTTGCGTCCTTTACATTTGTGGCAGATGGATGTTACACATTTTTTTGAGTTTGGGAAGTTAAAATATATCCATGTTTCCATAGATACTGCTTCAGGGTGATATCCTTACATTCAGGCGAGAAAGCCCGCCATGTCATTGCACATTGCTTTGAGGCTTGGGGAGCCTGGGGTATGCCAAAAGAATTGAAAACTGATAATGGGCCAGCATGAACCTCTACTTCCTTTGTAAGTGTTTGCAAAATGATGGGTGTCCTCCTTGGTCATGGGCTACCCTATAATCCTCAAGGACAGGGTATTATTGAGCATGCTCATCACACTCTGAAAGAATGTCTTCTTAAACAAAAAGGGGGAATTGCCTCTGGCCTACTGCCAAGAGAAAGATTAGCCATAGCTCTTTTTACCTTAAAATTTTTAACTGAAGGTAAGTAGGGGTGCTCTGCTGCTGATCGCCATAGTGATTTTGATTCTTCAAATAAAGGCATGGTAATGTGGAAGGATATCTTGACAGGCCGTTGGAATGGACCTGATCCGGTGTTGGTTTGGGCGAGAGGTTCTGTTTGTGTGTTTCCTCAGGATCAGCGGCAGCTGATTTGGGTCCCTGAGCAGCTTACCAGAGCTGTGCAACCAGAGAATTGTGAGGATGATGGTCCTGAACATGCTCTTGTTGATGTGGAGTATACCAATGATAAGAAGCAATGAATTGCGGTGGGTATTATGTTTTTAATTAGTGACTAATATGTCCAAGGCATAATGTTTTCTTTGGGCCTACACCAGTTTGTGAGTGGCCTCCTTTTGTTTTTATAGTGTTTAATAGTAATTATAATAGTAGCCTTTTAAAATGCAGTAATAATAGTTATTTTTATATATGTGTTGGAATGCTTCTGCTCATCATTTTACAGTGGTTGCCCACATGCCTAGATATGTCCCATGGCCTGTGGAAGCCCCCTCTGCCATGACTTTATTTAGACCAAAGAGTTGATTTAGCTCAGGAATAAGTAGATGTGTTTATGGAATTAGCTCAGGTGGGTTGTCAGTGGAAATATACTGGGTTATGTGTTACCTCTATACCATTTCAGAATGCAAGCTGTGCCAGTAATCTTTCCAAAGAACTTTCTCAGTATCTTGTAGGGAATTGGTCCGGGGATTTGGACAAGCTGCTGGGAGACCTACGACATTCTATCATCCATATCAATTCAACCCATGTAGACGCCTCCCTAGCTTCTGGATTGACCAGTTGGATACTTCAAGCAATGTCTCACATCAACAAATGGGCTGGAATGGGGGGAGGATTGCTTTGTGCTTGCTCCTTATCAGTGGCCTCGCCTTCTGGTGCATGTGTAACATGAGAGCTCGACAGGCTAAGAATCAGGCCTTGATGGTGCAAGCATTTGCAGCGGTGGAGATGGGTCAATCTCCTGAAGTGTGGCTTGGCATGCTAGAGAAGTAATCAGAGACGGATAAGACACCTTGGACATGTTACCAACCTAAGACAGGGACCAAACTGGAGCTGTTTGACTCCCGATGACGGGTAAGGAACATTGTCGCAATGGGCAAACTAAGACAGGCATTCTCTCTGCCAAAATTTTATAAAGAAGGAGGAATTGTGGGAAGCGAGTGTGGCGGCTAGTTCAAATGGCGCCTGGGACAGCTGCCAAGTTTTATCACTAGCACTTGACTTCCTTGAACACCCCCAGAGAGCCACATCTGCAGTAGATACTGTGGAGACTCCCTGCCACGCACTATCAGGCCATCTGACGTGTAATGTCAAAATCCAATTGAGAGTGCCTACGTGGCCGGCTCTGAGTGGTGCAAGCACAAAGATTTAATGGCGGTGGAGGAGAGGCTCGGGAGCTTTTGCTTAATTGAAGGGTTCCTGAATAAATGGCTGCGAGAAGAGCTCCATGTGTCGCCGTTTCTTTCTGCGGGTTGGAGTGGACAGCAACAGGGGATCACTATAATCTACAAACAAAATCATTCCTATTAGTTTATCTGTAGATTTTCAACATTGTACTGCATACACAGCTGTAAAAATAAGCAAAGAAAATATTAGTTGCTATATAGTTATTTTCGTGCTATAGTTTTTAAACTTATATATAAATAAACATGTCTATATCCCATTCCATATTAGAAAGGATTTATAAGAGCTTATGAAAATATTTAATTATTCAAAATTTAATTAAGTTGTTAAAATTTGGAAATGAATAAAATGAGTAACCTGTGGAGATGTTGAGTATACAGTGGAGAGAATTTAGAAATAGGGGTGACTTATAATAAAGGAGGAAAGATGTTTGGAAATATGGCTCAGAATTTAGGAGAACCAGAGTTTCGATTTGAGCACTCATATAACACAATGGATGTCCTTAAAATATTCAGAGAGATCCAATGCCCTATGTATACAGAAACACATACACAAAATAAATGATAAATATACATCCATGGACATATATATACATACAGTACACTCTGTATTTTAGGATTTTATAAAAATATTACACAAAAGATAAATAAATAAACCCAAGCAAACCCATAAACAGATTGGCTACAAAGTAAAACACAAGCAAGTAAACCCAGAACCATTACACATAATTTAACATATTGAAAGTGTCAGATAAACATATCTAAATTAAGCAACTTTATTTAAAAAATTAATAACAACTGTTAAAAATGGAATTATATACATGTAATAAATCCCAGTCTTTGTATTCATGACTGCCCTCCATAAGACCCAACAAGCAGCTGAAAGAATCAGATATAGATAGTTGCACCCAGCCAATGAACAGAAGCTGCTGACCTCTGAGTTTGAATTGGGGAAAGCCTGGAGGAGGCTGAGGAGGAGGGTAACCCTGTAGGAAGACCAGCAGTCTCATTTAACCTGGACCCCTAAGATTCCCACAGACACTGGATCACCAACCAGGCATGCACCAGCTGATATGAGGACCTCAACACATATACAGGAGAGGACTGCTGGGTCTGGGTTGAGTCAGAAAAGATGTACCTAGCCCTCAAGAGACTGGAGGCCCCAGGGAGTTTAGAGGTCTGGTGGGCTGGAGGGGCTTAAGTGGGGACATCCTCGTGGAGACGGGTGTGGGGAAGGGGGGAGGATAAAATGTGGAGTGTAAATAAATAATTTAAAAAGCCCAACTCAGCATGGCTTATGACTCAGGAGGGCTACATTCCTACATACATTATCATCTAACCAGGCCCCAGGGTCTCCTCTCCATAGCAGGTGGGGCTGTTCAGATAGATTGGGGGCAATGAACCCTATAACTTTGTGAACTCCCCAAGCCTAGGAAGGTGCGTGAGCTTAATTCTCCCTGAAAGGATATTTCAGCTCAAAGAGCCTGGCTACATTTTTCCTCACACTTATGTAACTTCAAACTAATATGTTTAAATTTAGGGACATGATGAGGCTGGGCATTTACTGCACAAGTGCCCATGCTCAAACCCCATGTAAGATAACTTGCATCAGTAATTTTAGCACTCCTATGGAGAGATGGGTACTGGGGAAAAGAGAATCTTCATAAGCTTGTAGAGTAGCCCAACAAATACAGAAGGAAAAAAAAGA